ATTGAGAAATCATATGAAAAAGCTCAAAAAACTATTATATGATATAATTTATATGTCGTTATCCTTTATGAAATAGCTTGTCTGTCTATGTCTATTTTGATCATTAAGTTATATCAAATTCAACATGAAACTAGTCATTATGTACAAGCTTGAACCCCAAATATATTACAGAATTTAGAAATGTTTATGGCAAGTACACAAGAAGAAAAAGAAATAATACTTACTCAGCATGTATCAATATACTTATGGCATGTAGAAGAAGAAGAAATACATAAATATATATATATATATATATATATATATATATAAGAGAAATAAGATTCAGATTCAGAGAAAGTAACGCAAAAAAAAGTTTGAGCATATAGGAGCTCTGGTGGCCATACATCTCCAAAACCCTTCCGCTGCGTAATAGTACGAGAAACTCCAAGCCGAACCTTTCTTTCTCACTTATTGGTTTTTCTCTTCTTCTTCTTTTTCTTCTTGGTTGTGCCTTTTTTTCACTCATACCGCACTTGCTTCATTTTTTTGTTTTGCTTACTCACCGTTAATATATAAAATGAAAAAGAAAAAACAAAGCTAGAATAAGAAGAATAAGACCAAGAAGAAATAGTACGCTCGACCAGTTGTAGCCAACGTTGCCAACGTTGCTAATCCCAACGTTACTACTGTGTTTTCCATAAATTCTATTGCCAGAAATACTGTTGTGGTTTCCACCCGTCCTTTTATCAATATTTTCTGCCTGTTTTTTTTTCTTTTTCTGGAGCTGTTGTTCAGTTCTTTCTCCTTGGGGCTCTTGTTCAGAAATCTTTCTAGGGGGACCAGGAAAACGGTTTCTTACCCTCTCCTGGTCCTGGAGGCTTTGTCCAGCTTCAGGTCGAGACCCATCTTATGTATATGCAAAAATAAAAATGGAAAGATCTTCAAATAAGTGGAGGCAAATACTCCAAAATCAGATGGAAGACAATCTTTCAATACATGGAAGTTACTATTGTAAACTAATTACATAAATTCCTTAAACCCTACACACACATATAGAATCACATCAAGGAAAAGATCTTGAATCAAATTAAAATATTAATCATAATACTTACTTGCCATTGATGAAAGCTCAAAAGAAAAGTCTTCTATTCTCTGTAGAGTTCTTATGTTCAATTAGCAATAGGGACTAGATGTTTTGAACGTGTGTCTAAGAGAGCATGGACCTCCTCTTGAAAATGGAATAAGTTGCTATTATATACATGGTGGCGTTGTAAATAATAAATAGGCCAAAAGTCACTTTTGGTCCTTGTAGTTTGGCACTTCAACCACTTTTGACCCTGTAGTTTCAATTTCGTCACTTTTGACCATGTAGTTTCATATTTGGAGCAATTCGAGGACAATATAAAATTTCTGTTAATTTAACGGAGCAATTATGTGCCCCTCACGTGAAGGGGCAATACTGTCAGACCAAAACCCCACACTAATATGCGTCGAGTTCAAGTTTGACTGAAACTCTCAGCCTTGAGTTCAGCGTGTTCGAAGTTGTCATTTTCTGGTTTGTCCATTTTTTTTTCCTTTCCCGTGCATCTATTTTTTGTTGAGAAAACCGTGGATCTTTTTATTTTCCTATTCAATTGTGAATTTATGTTTCGTTACCGAGAAAACGTAATCTCTCTCTCTCAGATCGAAAAGTATCAATCTTCATGGCAATTTGGGCAACCAAACAGTCAATTATCTGATTCTACAATTTCTAATTGTTGATAATCTGGTAAATTGATTGCTTTTACAGTGAATCTACTGCTACGCGATGCTCCCCACAGTTCTGTTCCTCTCCAATTTTCTCTTCATCGTCATCCTTGTGGTCTCTCTGTCTCTCCCTTGCAGGTAATTATAGCAAAGGCTTCAACTTTCTCTTTTGATTACCAAAAGTAAAAACCCCCTGTTGGAAGCTGAAATAACACCAGAAAATGAAAGAAAGTTTATGATTTGATATCGAGATAATATCCCACATCGGATAAATATCGATAGCATATTTCAAAATTGCAAAATTTCTTGCTTTTCCATACATTTATTGTTACATTTTCCTCACAACCAAACAGGATATGAGTCTACTCTATCTTCTTGTATTTAATGTTTCAAACAAAATATAGGTCTGATGGGTCTGCAGAGAAGGAAAAAAGTTTAGCAATAATAAAGCCAGATGGATTGTATGATAACTGCACTGATAAAAGGGCTCGTTTGGTCTGACAATATTGCCCCTCCACATGAGGGGCACATGATTGCTCTGTTAAAGAAATTAACAAAAAATTTATATTGTCCTTGAATTGCTCCAAATATAAAACTGCAGGATTAAAAGTGATGAAATTGAAACTACAGGGTCAAAAGTGGTTGAAGTGCCAAACTACATAGACCAAAAGTGACTTTTGACCAAGAAAATATGTGCAGCCCGCTTACTATTGGTTTGGAGACTTTGGATGAGGGTTGTCTGCAATTTGCCCTCACCGCACATTCAATCCTAATCACACAAAAAATGATAAATAAACGATGGATTGTGAAGTCAAAAGGTACTCCGTGTGGAACAAATAGCGTTGAACTTCTGTTTTGATCACATGCAGGACAGAAGAGAACCTCTCTTGTCATAATGCAAAGGGGGCCCCGACCGACATTTTTTAAGTGGCCATGCTTGTGGATAAATTCTACAATACATTTTACATCAAATTTGGAAAGCAGCAATTTGAATAATCACCAGTGTTGACTGGTGGTCAACGTAAAACTTTGATCCTAGAGGGGGTGCAATGTTACATGGATCAAAATGAAAATAAAGATTGGGATATGGAAGAACACAAAGTGAAGTTGATCAATATGCTTTCATTCATCTTCTCAGAATGATTGATAATTTCCTCTCGTAACGGACGTCTTCAATCATTTGCAGCTCCTAAGTCTCTGAGTGAGGCTTCCCTCGGGGTGGTTGGCCGGGACTTTCCAAGGTATATGTAGCAAGATACCCTTGATGTCTCCTACCCATATCATTACGGAGCTGCGTGGTTTTAGTCCTCGTCCGGTTCGAGTGGTCCGCCTAAGATAGTGTGGCTTGTGTGGGCTTTGAGTCCACATCGCGGTGCTAGTGGTTAATTCGGCTCGGTCAGTCCCTTACATCAACCACCACCATGTACAAATACATGGTACAAACAACCACTTTTTATATAGCACTTTGAGCCAATACAATAAGATTTCTGTAATTTAGTGTAGGCAAAGTAATAATTTAGATTCCTTGTCAAATTCCAATAATATCCATGTCGAAAAAATTATTAGAACTGTCACACCCCGTACCTATATCCTCTAATAATTGGACTTTGAGCAAATATTCCAGAGCAAATTCAAAGAAATATTTCACTAAATTAACATTGGTATATATTTGTTGACCTGAAAAATTATCAACATTTATTAATAATAAAAATAATTAAATACCAGCCTAATTTGTGAGCTAATAGCAACTGAACATCTTTGTGGGGTGAATGGATGGGATCTGGATCATCTGCTTGGATTCTCTTTGCAATTATCTTCTCTCTGTATGTCACCTCATTAAAATTTAATTTAAGGAATTTTAAATTGACACATCATCTTTAAAACAAAGAACAAATTTACTCATAATTAAAAAGAAGAAAAAAAACATAACTGAACTAGCGTGGACCTTTTTTTTTTTTTTTGATCAAGTAAAGATAACTTTATTGAAACAACAATGTCAGGGTACAAAAGTAAGAACTGGACTTTAGTGATGCAACAAGAGTGGCCTCGTTAAAACCTTGCCTTTAAAAACCCCCAAATGGAGGAAAATCCGGTCAAGGAAAAAGAGTACCACAACATCACCCCCAATATAAATTTAAAAATAAGAGAATAACTTGTCATTGGCCAAAACATCAAAAAGAAAACCATAAATGACCATCCTCTAGCCAAACTTGAGCTTCCTGAGATAGAAGCACCTTAACTCTCTTAGGACCCGTAAACTCCACACCTCAAACCGGACGTAGTAGGATGAGCCCCCGAGGGAACAACAGTATTGGTAACATCGGACAAGGGAAGAGAAGATTCAACCGCACTAATCAGTCACGGAAATCGCTTCCAATAGCCACGACTAGTAGGAAGAGATTGTACTTGGCTAAACACCACCGAATTGGAAGGCACACCACCATAGGAATAGACTTGGAAAACCCACTTGAAAAAACCTGGAGAAGGAATAGACGAAGGAAAAATTTGACTTGGGAAATCAGCACGAACAAAAGAAACTGAAATCCCAGAGGTAACCAATAGCACATCAATATCCTCACTAAAGCCCTCATGGTCATGATTTGGGAAACCAGAACTAACAGAAGAAATCAAGGAAAAAGGTTAAAAGCCCCAAAGACTAAAATCCATGGGTTGGCCAAAAAGGCCAACTTGACAGAAAAGCCCAACTCCAATCCAACAGGCTCAGAAAACTGGGCCTCTAAAAATAGGATAAGACAGAAGAAATCCACGTGACTGATAACTGTCTGATGTTAGTAGGAAGAACGCTACAACGGCTGGTAACTGACTAATACCAACCGTCTCAACCGATGGCACATCCACGGCCAAGAAACGAACAGGAAGGCGATGATCACCAACATCCGTCGTGTCCTCCATGAACGAAGATCCAGAGAAGCCCGGAAGTAGTCCAGCCCTCCAAAGAGATTGGGTAAAAACTCTCACTCTGACCTGCAAGCATCGACCCACACAATCTCCATCATCTCTGAGAGCCACCTCAACAAACAAAAATGAAAGTCCGAACGCAAGGCCATCAGCACATCAATATCATCACTAAAATCCTCATGGTCATGCCTAGTAGGCACTAGAGATTGCGAAAGAGCAGACTCAATAGACAGCAATCTGCAAAACTTAAAAAGGATATAAGTAATATAAAAAACAAAATCAACTCCCAAAAGAAACAAACCTACCAGAGTTCGGTTGTGAAACAGGGAAATAGAATAATAACAAACCAGAACAACAAACAAAGTAATCAACAAAGTAAGCAACAAAGTCACTCTGCCCCAGAAGAGAGAGACAGAAACTGATTCTTCACAAAGTAATCAACAAAATCACTCTGCCCCAGAAGGGAGAGACAGCAAGTAGATACTGCCTTTAAAACCTGAACCACGAGCGGCCGTCTGGCGGGGAAGGAGCGGATGAGGCATCAGAGGGAAAGAAGATGCGAGTTTCCATCATGTGACCCCGTCATTTTTTAGAAATCAGATCACAGTATTGGTAACATCGGACAAGGGAAGAGAAGATTCAACCGCACTAATCAGTCACGGAAATCGCTTCCAATAGCCACGACTAGTAGGAAGAGATTGTACTTGGCTAAACACCACCGAATTGGAAGGCACACCACCATAGGAATAGACTTGGAAAACCCACTTGAAAAAACCTGGAGAAGGAATAGACGAAGGAAAAATTTGACTTGGGAAATCAGCACGAACCTCGTATACGTGCTTCATAGGTGAGTTGAGATTTCTCAATATATATATAAAATAGAAAGCTAATTCTCGATATATCTATATATATATAAAGCAAAAGGTTTAGAATGGTGAAACATTCAAAATGCCAGAAAATACCTTTGGTTAATGCAAACATTAATAATTGAAATTATTAATTAAATGAGGATAATATAGTAAATTCACACTTTTTCATATTTAAAAAAAATTAAAATTAAAAGAAAAAACAGATAATGGATCCTATTTTTATGGAACACAACTACCCATTATCTTTTATAATTCTAAAATAAATTTTAAACTTTTTAAAAAAAAACTTGTTGCATGCGCAGAAGCGCGTGCAGAGAGGCTAGTATAATAGAACGCTAATTTGTATACCATTCCGATATGGGAATTTTTTTTTTCCGGGGTTTTGTTCAGAAGGGAATGAAGAGTCACAGATAAACCGTCTCAGAGCCTTGTGCAATGGGCTGAGACACGTGTGGAGCCTTGGGGCTTCAAGCCCGGAACATTTTTGGTTGAACGGGGCTTACGATCCAGTGGTGTCATTTTTTTTTTTGGTTTTTAGTTTCAATTATTTTTCTTATGTCAGTACTTTTAGCAGTAAAAAGTTTTCTCAACTATTGAGAGTATATACTTTCATTTGCTTATGAAGAAAAATGATCAATCCATGAGTCCGTAAATAGATTGATTTGGATCAATATACTATCAGTTTGAAGCGTAAAACGAAACCAATTTGAATTGTATGCGGTTTGAAGCCGCATTCTAATCAAATCGGAACTATCCTATCTATCTGTAATACTTCCCTCTTTTCCTTTGCTGTTGAATATATGCCATACTAGACAGTATAGCCATCAAGTTCTAACAATTTTC